TGTTGTGGTGAGCTAAAATCCCAGGTGTCACTTTGGTTACTGGAGATCTGAATTCACAGGTTGACAGACTTAGCTTATCTGAGACCCACGTAGGCGGTCGACGTGGATTGGACTCGTTACCCCCTGATAGTGGCGAACAATAGCTTCAGCTTTGTGTTGACCGCACAAACCTTCAAAATAACCTAAGTCGTCTGGCCACACGGCGTCTTCCAACAGCGTACCATCTACGGACGCAAATTGATCACATCATCAGTTGCCGATGCCGCGGATCAGTCATCATCATCATCGATAGCATAAAATCAACGTTTAACCAGGGTCAATAACTGAATACTGCTCGCTGTGGATCACATTTATGGATTCCGACCAGGCCGTCCACAGTCGCTTCTCCATTCGTTTTCCAGGACCACGTAAGATGCGAACAAATTTCTTGGAAACTGAGAGACTGGAAGACCTGGATACCATACACTTTCCAGAATCGTCTTTTGGAGTACTCTACCATCATATTTGAATACATGCTGGGACTAGATCGCCACCTACTTGCACCGTGCTGCCTGTGGTTCGAACCCGACCTCTGCCTCTCGACTTCCCCTGTCTAGGCTTGGACAACCTGGCAGTATCCTAGCCCTCGTGCTTCCTTCGGATAGCATGGCAGTTAGGCACCGGAAGGGTGCTACAACTGAACAGCTGAACGTGGCAAGACGCTACCAGGCTCGCTCAATCACTGGATATCGGACAGCACATTGGCATTACTTGAATACCGGAAAAATGTTCCCGCCGGTCCACACATAATTTGGCCAGAATTATCAGACGTCAAGTGGAAGCGAGCGTGCACACCGACCGTGAAGCCTGATGGACTCGGAAGGCTAAGGAGCTGGAAGAGGCCCAGAAAACCCGGAATCCCCGAAAATTATTTCATTTTATTACTGCAACCGGCGTTGAAAACTTCCTGCAAGTGAAAATATCATGGGTCAGATTGGCGTGACTCTCTTGAGTAAAACAGAAAGCTTCAACCGCTGGGCCTGAATGCTTCGAACAACAGTTCCCGTGACTACCTTCTGCCTCTCATCTGGAGCTTAAAGCTGAAGTAGAACCATGGATGGTGAACCCAAAAATCTCCGGTCTCGGAGGTTGTACAGCAGCGGAGCATCAGTTGAACGTTGGTGTTATGCTGTCCATTGTGATGGCATCGGACGGATGCCGAGCCTAAGTTGCAACGCTCTTGTAATGGTAATATAATTGCTAATTGTTCAACTGTAACACCCTTTCGATGCCTAGCTACATGCCAACTGGAGGAAGCACGAGGGCTGAGATGCTGCTAGTTTGGCCATGCCTAGACGGTGGCAGTCGAGATGTTGCTGCGTTGCTCGAACGGGAGGAAGCGGGAGGGCTGAGATGCTGCTAGTTTGGCCATGCCTAGACGGTGGCAGTCGAGATGTTGAGGTTCGGTTCGAACCGCGGACCTTCCGATCATTAAGATTGTGATTTGATCACTGAACTTAGTTGTCGCGTCGTTTGGATACGATTAATTCTTCTTTCCGCTGAATGTCACAGATTTATCGGCAGTGATTTGTCTAGACAGCATACGTAGTTGAAAGGTTTTCGGCAATGGCATGTCAATTACACGCGATTCGCATATTTAATTAGAGTTAATTTGTTTGTAGCCCAATTTTACTGCACTGGATACGGTCCGTGCTTTGAGAATCGTGGAAACGCGCTGAGAGGGTTATACAGAAATGATTCTGTGGGCACAAGGACCGTGGTCCAGGGGACGGAAAATACAAATTCTAAAGCAATGAATCCTCTCTTTTNGCCGATTTTTCCCCTCTCCTTACAGGTGAAGTCAGTCTACGCTTAACATCAGAGAATCTCTGCTTCATTCTCATTCATAATCATCAGCGGTGCGCATCTGATGCAACTTTACGGAGTTTCGGATTCCCGATCGCCCGGACAGTAATTCGAACATTCTCTCGCTTTTCTCAGACTTTCATACTGACTTCACTTACTGGCTGAAATTTCAATGCGAAATCACCAAATTTCCTCACATTGTCATCAACATAAATGGTGGACTTATTATTGCACAGTTGGTGATAGCCATAATACAAATCAGAAGGTGTATGTGCACTAATAGAAGTTTTTGTATGGTTGCGGCACGTATAAAAATAAACACAGTGCAAGAATGGGAGCAGGTTAAAAAGGGAACTTGTCGTATATTGGAGGTCCCTTGGTGGAAGTCCGAACGGCGGGAACGTGTTTTCTCCGCAGTTTGACTGCTACACGTATTCCATGGTTGTCCGTGGACTTGTGGAGAGGTTGACGTCCTGCTCCCTGCGCGCGCGCGAGTCTGTGTGTCTTGACTGGGTTCGGTTTGCCTTTATGTAGGTCCCAGTGCGTGTATGTGGGCGCGTCGGCACATGAGTGGTTGCTACGCTGACTAGGCGGTGCAGACAATCGATGTCCGATGAGTCAGCTTAATGCGACGTGTTTGTGCGTATGAGAAAATAGACAAGCCTCGCGATCCAGTGAGCTATTGAGTTGAACAGTCAAGTATATGGGTGACTGGGCCGCTACAGACTTTAAACACATCTTTTTTAGGCTAATGAATGTGAACCGGGCTGTGGACGTGTCTTAAATTGGTGTTATGATTTTGTGAATGCCGTAATTCTGCTCAGGTTTTTTCCAAACCCGACATCTACCGGACGTTTGCCAGATCTGAACCACTTCTAGCAACTAACCATATACCTGAAAACCTCGAACATTTACCAGACAGTACCAAATGTAAACCAGATATGTACCAAAGCCGACCAGATCACTAGGTAGTGTTGACTTAAACAAACTTGTTCAGTTTACTTAAAGTAGGTCCATGCACAATAGGTTATTTGGCTGAGGTATAGGGGAGTTGATGACTGAGCCGTAGATGTGTCAGACATGAATTGAAATATGAATATATGGGAGTCCAAATGAATAATTGGCAGGAGTTACGTGGGTTCACAAAC